CAAGTCAGGCCTTATACAGTGTAATTGACTTCATATTTTCAGAGCTCTTATACAATATTGTTGAGATTGATATAAGGTTAAGCAGCTCTGTAACTGCAATAACTGTCTTATCTCACATCTTTTTCAGAGCTGAAGAGTCTATTAATAGTGATTGAGACTTCTCAATGATTAAACTGATTGATTGTTCAGATACTTCATCTTACTGTGAAGTATGAGAGAGAGTTAGCTCTCATTTTATATCTTCACTGAGCATATATATCATGACTGCATTTGAATTCAATTCTTCATAATCTGAGTGAATGATCATAATGTCATATCTCAGCAGATTCTTGATGAATTAATTAAAGATCTGTAGACATCTCAATATCTCATTTTTGCATTTCAATAGAAATATTCATCTTATTCAGATGACATCATCTGTAATCATCATTGCAAGCTTCTTGCCAGTGTAAGATGATATATCATTCTCAGTTTCAAGGGTCTCATCATCACTGAATATATTCACTCAAATCTTCAAGGTCTTGCAGATGATATGATGTGGTGTGAAATCCTTGTAGAATACATGTTTCTGCTTAGTCTTAACACATGTGAAACAGAATGATAATTTCTTCAGACTGATAATAGTAATATCAAATCACAGATCTCTGATCATTTTTAATATACTATTTTCACTGATATGATTAAGTCAATGATGTCATTCATCTATTGAAAGCTGTTTCAGAAGAACTGCAGATAATTGAGGATGAAGATGAGATAATAAAGAAATTAGTATCTGAATTCTTAGAGTTGATTAACTGTTCAACCTTCTCACAGCTAAAAAGCTTCAAAGACTCTGCATTCAGATCATAATCTGTTGAGATTGTCTTTGATTTTGAAACAGTCACATATGTCACTGCTTCATATATTGAGTCATTCATTATTTCATGAAATGTCAGTGAGCTGTTGAATAGAATGTAAATATTATTGTAAGACAGATTAGTGTAGAAGATATCACTGTTAATAGATGACAGAAACTCAAAGTAGTTCTCAGTATCAACTTACATATTACAGTGAATATAGCTCTGATGTTTCATAAGCTCAGTGAAGATCAGATTTGTGAATAGTTCTGACACATAGTATACATGATTGAATTCTATCAATCTTTCACTCACTGAGATGAATGCAGTGCTGACACTCTGAACCTTCAGAATGGCCTTATTGACCACTTGAACTGTTGAATCATTGATTGCTATAAGTTCTGAAAATTGTCATCTATCACTTGCTATGTGGCATCCAGCGCCACTATCTCATATAGTGAGGGGATTCTTGTGAGGTTTCATGAAACAGGCTGGCACATTGATAATCTCTGTGAGATTTGTTATCTGATAGGTCTCTGATTCATCTGTAATGAATAGTTGAGTTCTACTCTCACTATTGTTCTTTTTCTTCTTTTCCTTGAATTCCTTTATTATCACAGTATTGTATATTCTTCAATTATTCAGAGTACTGTCTGAATTGATCAATCAACAGATGTCAAAGTGAGATCTCTCACATTCAGAACATGTAGATGAATTACTCAATTTCTGATGATTTCAGAAGCCTTCTTGAGTATTATCATGACCACATTCATTACAGTCTCCACGGGCCGAATTCGATGTATTGTTGTTGTTAGAATTGATAGATGTAGTGATCATTGTAGCTGTGATTGCTGTTGTAGCAGAGACTGCAGAGTTGACTGCAGAATCTGTATTCTGTAGATTCTTTTTATCTTTTGAAGAATCAAGTCACAAACAGATCTTCTTCATGAGAAGATCAACATTCAATACCACAGCTGTGGATTTGAAATCCTGTATCTTCTCTATCTTCTTCTGAACATAATTTCTTCAATTATTAAGTAGAACTGAGCAGAAAGTATCAAATATTCATGTATCTGAGAAGAAAGTATTCAACATCTTCAATTTCATGATGATGAACTGAAATTTATCAAAGAATGTGTGTAGATTGATGATCTGTGTGTCATCAAGAGACATGAATTTCAGAACTGTCTCACAGTGTAACTGTGTTTTGAAGACAGAGTGTTTCTATTCAATTGCATTTCATAGAGTATAAGTAATCTGATTTTCATTATATTTGAAGAAACATGATCTGACTCCTGCACTCAAGAAGTTTGAGATGAATGTGTAGAGTCATCAGTTTCTGACATCTCAGAATGATGCTTATTCATCATCTCTTTCTAGAGAGTTCTGAGTCTGTTGTTTCTCTATCATATATTAACACTGTGCATCAACCAGTTTTGATTTCATGAAGATACTTCATGTGATGTATTTGAATATATTAGTTAAACTGTTTAATCTCACAGTATTCTTGACATCTTTCTTGAATTGAGAGATTACCTTGCTAACACAGCTATTCAGTTTATAAAGGTTGAATTCCAACCTTTCTCTGAGATTAGAATCCCATGTGACTGTACAGGCTGTTGAGATGATGACAGAATGATTGTTAACATTCTGTGATCAACCTGTGAAGATTGAGAATCTCTCTTAATGAAGTTTTTTCAGTTGTAGTTTAAGTTCTAGAACTTTACATCTCTTCTTCTTCATCTTATATATTATCTTGAGATGTTTCATCTGTTGATCTGATATTTTCTTATCTGAACAGTAGACATCTAAGTGTTCATTATTCTCATCAAGAGAACCAGCTTCATCAAGCTGTTGAGTAGATCAGAAGGCCGGCCTGACTGTGTCAGAAGCTGTATTCAAATCAGCTTCAAATTGAGAGAGTGTTTCAGAGTGTTCATCAATGAAGATTTGAAAGGCTTCAGAAGAATGTTCACTGACAGAGCATAAGTGTGAAGAATCATCATCATCAGCTGCAACTAACTCAGTGAAAAGAATATGAGATTGTGAATGTGTATGTGAGTGAGATTGTGTTGAATCTGTCCTCTTGATATTTATTTATTGAATCCTTGTTAATATCATTCTCTTTTTTTTTTTTGCTTTTTTGCAATGTGATGTGTTGTCTGCAAGCCTCTTTTTTTTTTAAGCAAGCAGTAGTATTATTGATCAACAAGATCTCAATACTGATAGAATAAGATGATTTTAACTCCTGATGAGTGTATCAAATGAAGCAGTAGTTAAATAATGATTATATCAACAAGGAATTCTGAATTAGCAGTGATTTTGTGCAAAACAGATCTCATAACCTGTGAAAGGTGTAAAGCTTGTGTGATTGAAAGGTTGCTAGCTTGTGAAAAGTTATATGATGAAAGGATTAGTAAGCCAGATCATGTGACCTAATAGATTATTCATGATTTAGATAGCTACTTCTGAGTATCTACAGTAGAGTTTGCAGAGATTGAAGTATATAAGTTTCTAGATCTTTCAGTTATAACAGACAGTTGCTGACTGATAGAGCTTGAAATATAAGAATAAGTACTCATAGGTGATTATTTAAGTGTTTACAGCTTGATATAATATATACTAATAACTACTAAAAGTATTCACAGTAGAAAGATAAATGTAGAGATTAAAATATAGAATAGTATTCAAGCTAAGTTATAATTAATAGTTATAAACTTCAGTCTATATAGTTATATATAGTCAAGAGCTGCTAACTCTATTAATTATATAAGAGATAGAAATAAAAGTAAAGAATTCATAAGAAGCAGAATTTCTTATAGAATCTTAATAGACTGATTACTAAGATTATAAATTTCATGTTTAATTTCATTTAATCTAATCTTATATATTTCTTCATATGAATCTCACTGAGATTAATTATTAAAATAACATGCAAAGTAACTATTTATTAGATCTTAAAATAAGATTATAACTTAGAAGAATTAAGAAAGTAATCTTATTTAATCTTATTTAGTCTCATTCTTAGTATAAAGTTACTATTTTTAGATATTTTAAGGTTTTTTTTAAACTATGTTTAATTTTTTAAAAAGTAACACTTTTTAATAACACTTAAATAAGATTTAAAGTTATTTAAAGAAATAAAAAGAATTTAAATTTAGAAGTGAAAATCATGATCTCATTTGAAAAATGTGATAAGAGTAGATAGTAAGTCTTACTAAGACAGTATAAGACTACTATCTCAAAGGTCTCAGATTCACTTTTCAAACAAAAATCTAGTTTCAGATAAAGAATATACAAAAACCGCTCCACCACGAACTCGCTTGATTTTTCGAATAAGAACCCGCCGATAGATCCATCGAAAAGCCCTCGATCATACGAGCATTTTGACCCCATCGCCGACCGCATACCCCATGTGGTGGTGGAGATATCCAGCCAAACGTGAACCAGACGTTGTTTGAAACTCCTGTGTGGGATTATCCCCCGTTCACCCCTACCACACCACAACCCCGGGCCAAATTGCCATACAAATTGTAAGGTGAAGAGACCTAGCCATATGCGCCAATCTTCTTGATTTTGAAAGATCCCTGATCTGTAATTGTGGAGATATCTGAGGAGCGATCTCCGTGAAAACCCTGTCCATCTTTGATGTTCCAAAACATCAACGCCAAGTCCCACCCTCGTACCGCCCTTCCCAATCTGGCCCATCCCCGGCAGAAAAATACAAAAAGATACCTCGGCGATAATATCAAGCACATAACCAACAGACACTTCTGAAGTGTAACCTCCGCGGTCTGTCATCAGTGTATCTAGACTTCAACACCAAGTCTCACCCTTGTACCACCCCTCTCAATCTGGCCCATCCCCGGCAGAACAATACAAAAAGATACCTCAGTAACAGCATTTGATACATAATCAGTGAACAATGAGTCAACAGCATATTAAAAATATCTTAATACACACGAGCCTCTGTATGCAAAGATGTTGCGGAGCTAAGCTCAAAACAGAAGGCCTCACAAGATTGATTTTACAGCTTATTATTAATAATAATAGAAGGGATAGAACTGTAAAAACATATAGAGATTCATTTTTCAGTGTAAAAGCATCATCTAACTAAGCAAGGAAAAAAACAAAAAACACCTCACTCTGCCCTGTCTCACTGACTTATATATTATTCTCAAGAACAGTTTGAGTGATCTGAAGAAGACTTGTAATAGTTCTGAATTTAGTCTTCAGAGCTGCATTCTTCTTGTACAGAGTCTCATTTTTAATATAAAGAGTTAAAATCTCAATATCATAACTGTCAACTGACTCAACACTTGTCATCTGTTTTTTCAAGGCTCTAGCCTCTGTATTCTCAGCTGCAGAGTGCTTCTTGAATAAGCTCTTCTTCTTGACTTTCTTTCTCTTATCATTCTTCTGCTTCTTTTCTTTCACTTTATCATTCTTCTTACTGAGATTGACTATGTATAACTATTAGTTAATTGTATTGAAATTAACATATTTTATGTTGAAAAGTGACTCACTTCTATGATAAGAGCAGTGACTTTCAGTGTTATTATAATAACAACTGACACAAGCTTCATGACACTGATTCAGAGCACTGATGCAGATGATAAAAGAGTCTTCTTCTCTGATACAGTGATTACAGAGAACTGCAAAAACAGCATCACAGAATTATAGAAGAAGAGTTTCATGATTTGTATTGATTTTTGTATTGATCTGACAACTCTTCTGTAAGACTGACTCTCAAGTATAGAATAATTTGATGAGAGTCTGTAGCTTCTTTGACAGCTTCTCAGGCATTCTTTCAGTCAAATGAGTCAATGGTTGACTCAATGATCTAGAATCAGCAGACACAGCAGAGGCAGGAGCAGGCGCAGGCGCAGGCACAGGTGCAGAACTGAGAATAAGGTTGACAGCTGATGACTCAGCAGGTCAGACAAGGTTATTGAGAACTGTGCTGACTGTCAGAATTGTAATTATCATCATTTTGAAGAATCTCACTTATAATGAATGTGTTTCAAGGCATTGTTTTCAGTTATAATAATAGTATTGATGATTTTTTGAACTTCTGATGAATTAATAGAGATAAATGACATGATTTCTGAAAAAAAAAAAAAAAACAGCTGACAGAGATGAGAGATGAGAGATAAGATGAATTCTTCAAAGAGAAAAGAAACACTCTGAGATTCATTCACTTTCTCTCATACATGTGTTGATAACTGTAAGAATTCAATATTTCTTATCACATAATGCATCACAGGCCTTAATAACACAGATCTCAGAAGATTCTCAATCTCTCAGATCAAAGATGTCATTATATTAAATCTGAGCTGTATAGATTAATATTCAGATTGTTTCAATATCTTCTGTAGACTGCTAACTGCTCATTCTCAGGTTCAGTGATTATAATAGAATCAGCTGTAATAGATTCATCAAGTTCAATGATTGAATTCAGTGAATCTGCAAGCAGAACAGGTGAAGAGAATGATAGAATAAAGAATGAAGATCTTGCAGTAATGAAGAATAAATAAATGAGCAGATTAAATGTGAACTGTGAAAAAGATGAAATAAAGAGTGAATGAATCTATATAGAATATAGATTAGCAGAGACCTATAAAAAGAAAAGAGATATAACTTAGTTATCTGTTAACTTTGATATCTTGTATAATTAATCTCATGCATCTGCATGCTTCTGCTCACTTCATCATCAGGTCAGTAAAATCTGGAATAATCAAAGAGTTGCTTAAATAGAAGATCTTGATATGTTTTAATCTGTGAAACCGCAACATATGTGAGACCAGTCTGGAATTCAGTCTCAGAAATATCAAGAACAGCTCAATTAAGTGATAATCCTTGAAATTTATAAACTGTAATAGTATATGCAACTGTAATAGAGAACTGCATGCAGCTGCAGACTTGATTAATATGAGAAAAGTCATAGCAGTTGTAGAAGATAGGCACAAGTTTAAGACTCTTTCATTTCAAATAAGTAGAACTGTCATATTTATCAAAATTAATTAGCAGTGCAAATGAAGAATCTTGACAGAGATTCTTCATATCTGAACTGTATACAATGTCATGAAGAGTTTCAAGAGCACTGTTAACAAAGTCACAGTCTGTTTAAATATTCTGTAGAAGCATGATTCAGCAGTCAATAAAGAGAGAAAGATTCTGATGAAGATTATCAGCCTTATCAGAATCTAACTGAGAAGTGTCTATATCAATATTTGTGATCTGAATATTAATAACAGATTGTTTACAGCTTTGAATGACATTATTATTATAGATATAAACATGATACTTCTTGACATAAATGTGAATTACATTCTCAAAGACTGGGACTTCATGAGGAATAAGAGCCTGCACATAGACTGGCTGCCGGGACCATGAATTTCACATTTGATCTCATTTAGTCTGGTCCCATACATTTCTTGGCGTGAATCCCGCTCGGACTGGCTATTAAAAAAACATGTAAAGTGACTATATATCAGATCTTAAAATGAAACCATGACTTGAAAAAAATGAGAAAGTGATCTTATTTGGTCCCATTTAGTTCCATTCTTAGCATAAAGTTACTATTTTTAGACATTTTAAGGTTTTTTTTAGACTATTTTTAATTTTTTAAAAAGTAACACTTTTTGGTAACACTTAAATGAGATTTAAAGTCATTTAAAGCAATAAAAATAATTTAAATTGAGAAGTGAAAATCATGATCTCATTTGGAAAATGTGACAAGAGTAGACAGTAAGTCTCACTGAAACAGTATGAGACTACTATCTAATGTTAAAACTGTGTAATGGGATCAGTCGAATTGATAATGAGACTATCAAAAAATCTGGTCCTGGTTCCAGACACGGTCACACGGTCAGTCTACCTGCACATACTTTGAAAGAAACTCTCAATCACTCAGAGTTAACTGACCAAGCTGAAGATTTTTCAAGGTCTCACAGAACTGGCAGCTGATGACATCTTCACTCACTTATCATTGAATCACAGTAAGTTGAATAATTTTACTAAAAGTCAAGTAGATTTGACAGCTCTGAATGTCTTCTTTATGATCAAAACATCTGTTATGATAGAGTGAAGTTTGAAAAACAGATGAGAGCTGATAGAAATCTTCACTGAGAATGAGACTGAGATCATCAAAATGAGCATTCTTGCAAGAGAATATGTAATGACAGGCCTGATTAATTCATGAAAGTTGCTGTAAATCAATCATTGACTTTTCATCAATTAACGGATAGTGAATGTCCTTAAAAAGAGTCTGCAAAGATTGAAGATTTTGAGAATTGAGTGATTTATATAACATGTTCTTGTATATGAGAAGCTGAAATAACACATGCACGGTTTGAGTATTAATGAAGTGAGCAGCTACATCAGTTGATGTAGCTCAAATGATTGAGATTGAGAGATCTTGAGCCTCTGCAAGATTTTGAAGAGTTGTAGACAAAATCATAATCAGATAAGTTTTATCAGTATTATCTTCATCATCTAGATTAATTAGCAAAGAATCTGAGAACTCATCATTAAGAATCTCAGTATAATAATAGAGAATAGTGTCATGAAGAAGACATTGATCAGAACCTAGAGTCTTGAGTGAGTCATATTCATGAAGAGTAGTATCTGTGAGAAAGTCAGTCTTTATATTGTTTCAAAATTCTGTGTCAAGATTGATATAAGTGTCAACATGAGAGCTTTAATCATAGTTGAAATCTAAGAATCAATGATCAAGCTGTTCACAGTTTCAGATGTCAATGAGGTCATTATTATAACACTGTAGGTTTTGATGAGTGAGTAATACTTAAGAGAGATTAAGCTTCTCTTCATCATTCTGATCATCTTCAAACTCAGGTTCTGGTTTCAGCATATCTTTATCATAGACATCAACTGAGTGATTATGAGAAAGACAGCAATAATTAAAGACCTCTGTAAGAGAGGATTAAGAGATGAGAAGATCAATAATCTTGAGATCTTCAATTTAATGAAAAGAATGATGAAGAAGAAGTTTAACATAAGTATAGTTCTCTGAATCAGTTTTAAACTGATAAACAGAAAAGTAGATCAACACTCAGAATTTTATACAGAGACATCTCTTAATTTAATGACTGTGAGAAAAGATTTAAAGAAATTCAAAAAATAAAAGATCTTCAAATTCAGTTAACTGCTGCTTATATTTTTTCAAAAAGAATAAATCATATTGTAATTCATCAGATTCAAGAATATAGCTATGATAATATTGAGATTCAGGCTGACAATTAACTGCAATTGACTCATAAGAACTCATTTATAAAGAAAGATTTAAAAGAAGATAATAAATCTTCTGAGCAGATCAATCATACTCATCAATGAGCTGATTTATAAGTTTAATAACTGTAGAGAGCAGTGAGTGACTTGAACTAACTCTTGAAATCACTCATTGAACAATCTGATCATAGAATTCTATATCTGTTTCAGTCTTGACAATGTACTTAGACAGATAATCAAGGACAGCACATCTGCCAGTGTAGGAGACAATGTCAGTATTTACTAGCCAGCTAACTGTAATCAATCTGTTATAGTTATTGAGAATTGAGTTGTTACAACAGAGATGCAGCTGATAATATCTACTATTCAAAGATTTGAGAATAGCACAGTCAGTTCAGTATTTATATAGAAAGTGAAATCAGTAATATAAATTATCAGTGACTCAGTGTTTACAAATGCAGTACTTTTCACTACAGTGATGACATTGAACACAGTTGAGAACTGCAGATAAATGTTCAATGATATTCATCTGATCAGAATAGCTGAGGAAAAGAAGTAACTGAGCATCTTCAGACTGAGTGCAATTAGGCTCAGAATTCTCAGCTGTAATAATAAGACCTTAGTAGTCAGTAAAGGCTTGACAGAAGTCTTCATTCATATCAAGTTCAGAATTCAGTGCATTCTTACATTAAAATACACTATATAAGTGCACTGATTCACAGTCTTATCACTTGTAACAAGTTCAGTGATCTAGAATTTTGAATTTCAGGTCTAGAATCTTTTTCTTAAAGATTGTAAGTTGTAGATGAAAGTAATGTGCAACTATAGTGAAATAGTCATGAATACTATCTCTTACAAACTTCAACCTCTCAAGATCAGTGCCGTACTTTCAAATAATATAGTCAGAGAAGTGATGCATCAGATTATCTCAGTGATGATCTGTGACTAAGAGAGTAAGAAATAGATGCAGAGATCTGTTATTTTAAACATAGACTTATAGCTGATGATATTTTACACCTTAAAAAGAACAGATTTTACAAAGACTCTCTGCAAACTGTGTAAGTGAATTCAAAATTGTATCAGATTATGAAGTATTAGCAGTAAAAGCAGTCTGCAGCTTCTCTAGAGTGAGGTTCTTAATAAGAGAGTCAGTGTAATTGTAGAAAAAGTGACTCTGATTATTAATCTATCTGTGAAATAGAGAATTGAAAGGAACATATTAAAAACAGCTATGACAGACAAAGTGACTACCATGATATTTAAGAAGAAACTGTGTGTAATCTGCAAGACTAATTATTCTTTGTCTAGAGAGAATGAATTTAACTTCATCTCATGA